ACGTCCTCGATTTCTTTCTAGACAAAACTTGAGCTGAGGGTTTCAGCTAACCCTCTCTTTAAAGAGCTCTTTAAAACAAAGGCAGAAGATGCCAACACAAGAACACAATAGGGCAAGAAAAGATGCCAAAAGCCTCACCAGACTATTGGCTCTGGTTGTCTGCCAAGAAGAGATTTGTCCCCCAGTGGTGTATCATGTAACCACCAATTCTGCATGCGATCTTAACTTGCAGGCTGGAGTTTGTCCATATTTTGTTTGTTTTTCAGCACTTCACCTGGAAGGGGCTGTAGGGCAGTGGAGGTCACCGCGGGTCACTGCAGTTTGCAGTGATATGTTTTCAGTGTAGTCCAAATTCTCAGCTGGAGACTCTTTCTTGGGATGCTTAGGGATTGTGTGGAAAGGAATTAGTCCCAATAACCCTTAAACTTGTTTAGAAAGAGTCTCTTTCTATCAGAGATCCTCAGGATCAAGTTATATAATGATCGAGTTTTGACACCTCTGACTGGAAAAGCATGTGCGCAGAGAGGGAAGGAATCAATTCAGCAACAAAAGAAAAGGCTCTTTGTGCAAAGATGGCTATAAGGAAAAGAAAACCTACTGACAGGAGGCTGACATTTGTACTGGGCAAGCCTCTGCTTCTCCTCTGGAAAATATCTGCGGATGTATCTTTTTTCTTGCTCTTATGCTGCCCCTAAAATCTCAGCAGCCTGCAAGCAGTCAGATGCCATGCAGCCGTTATCTTTGCTTCTTAAGAATTTCTCTTTTTCTTTCCTGGGTATTAGCAGTCTTTAGGGCTCCCCTCCCTGGCCTTACAACTCCATGGGCTCGGGAATAAAAATAAAACGAGGCAGGCATTAATCAGTCAGTGTCAAACGCTTGGAGAAGATGAATGATATGGCAGGGTCTTGGCATTTCCGTTTTGTTGCGTTGCCGGCGTTGCTAATGCTCCTTTTGGCACCGGGTCACTTCAGTGTCCTGCCTGTTTGCCTGCAAAAATATTATCCTTGCAGCTCAGGAGAAGGAGGAAGGTCCCACCTTCCCTCCCCCTCTGCATGGGGCATCACCAAAAAAACAAGTGTGTTTCCAGGCCTTTCTGGGGGCCTTTCTCTTCCCTGCAGAAACCTGTGCTCAAACATTATGGTTCCTCACCTCAGTCAGAAAGTGCCAGTGGTGAGGCTGGCTAAAACTGGATAAAAAGCCAGTGGTCAAATAATTTAGGTCCAGATGACCAAAGTGGTGTCTGGGTACCTCACCCATGGAAATGGCCAGCGCCTAAATGAGCAGCGCAGTAGCTGGGCTGCAGGAGAGATTGGGCTCCTAAAGCAGCTCGAGGCTCTGGCTAATGCTGCCTCTTGTGGGCACACCTGCTCCAGAGCGTTATGTGCATCGAGGGGCAGTGGTGGCATCAGAGGGGACCAGTGGACAGAATGGGGCTGAGTGAACCCAGAAAACAAGGTTTTTCTTGACCCAGAGGTCAAGAAAACACCCTGGTGCTTGGGGACTCGTCCTGCTTATACCTGAATCCTTCAGCTTTGCAAAATCAAGCTGGAAACATCTCCCTCCTTTGCAGGCAGGGAACTGGCTTATACCTGAATCCTTCAGCTTTGCAAAATCAGGCTGGAAACATCTCCCTCCTTTGCAGCAGCCTGTCATGGTCATGGAAGTTTCTGAGCTGGGCGCGGGCAGGAAGCCCAGCCTGCCCCCAGCTTTGCAATGCCTGCCTTGATGTCTCAGCAGGTCACCAACGCCTCTGACAGCTGGGCAGTGAGGGATGTCCCAGCCACGCAGCACCGCCTGACCCTCACCAAGCTGGACCCTGGCAGCCTCTATGAGGTGGAGATGGCCGCTCACAACTGTGCCGGCGAGGGACAGACGGCCATGGTGACCTTCCGGACTGGTAAAGGTCAAACCTTTCCCTGGGTGTTTTTCTCTGAGTCAGGGGAGAGCCCCTCCGAGACCTCCTGCCCCAGCCTTTTGGCACAGGCACCAGCCTTAGGACAAAGGGGCTGCTTCTGCTCTGGAAACCCATCTTCCCTCCGCTTATGGAGACTGTCAGAAGGGAAAGTGGAGGGTGGGGCTGAAACAGGATGGGGAAAATCAGGTCTTCCCCTCTGCCTTGGGTTGGAGCAAGGCCCTTCCTCCCTTGGTGTCTAAGTTGGACACCTGCCGAACCGTAGAAAATAGGTCTGGTGGGGATGTCAAGAGGTCTTTTAATCCATCCTCTGCCTGGAGACAGGATCAACCTCTTTGTCTAATCTGTCCTCAAAAGCTTGTCCTGCACTAAAGGAAATGCCAAGCCTTCCCATGCAGTCTGCCGAGCCGTGTTTGCCGCTAAAAGGATGTTGTAAATGTCTACGCCGAGTCCCCCTGGCTGCTTTTCATGTCTCCAGCAGGTGTAGGGATTCGCATTCCCTTCATAGAAATCTTCCCCGTGGCAGTGGGCTTGCTCACATCTCCCCTCAGGCCCCCGTCTTGTGCTAATTACTACCTTCTCAGGCAGAAATCTAGCAATGTTTCAAGAAAACCAATTAAAAGTTTTAGACAATTAAATGTGAGAGGAACCTATGAACAGTTTAGCAAACCTGCCCCTTTAGCCTTAGTTCCTGTCTGCAGGTTGAGTCCTTCAACCCCTAGGACTGATGGAGTCTGGAGAGTACTTACCTCGGCATTGTGGCTGGGAATATTTTTTTTTTTGGTCATCAGAGCAAAAATTTACTCTGAGCCACATTTCCTTGTCACTGACTCCACATCTCCCTTCCGCACAGGCCGGCGCCCAAAACCAGAGATTGTTGCCAGCAAAGAGCAGCAAATCCAGAGGGACGACCCAGGCACGAGCACTCAGAGCAGTAACCAGTCCGACAACAGCCGTCTGTCCCGTAAGGCCCTCTCAGAACTGGGCAAGGAGGGAGGGCGAGGGGTGCTGGATCTCTTGTGGGTGGCAGTGGCCAGGCCATGCTGGGGTTGCTCATCCCCACCATACGCAAGTCTCCACTGGGTAAATCAAGACTGTGCAAAGCTGGAAGAGTGGTGTCTAGCTCCTGATGAGGAGAGGTCCGTCTCGGACACTCCTGCTACTGCACTTGGCAGGCAGTCTGTTTTAGGAGAGAAGGCTGATCCCACTGCCTGTCCTCACCGTTACTGCAAGGGCTTGTCAGGAATTCTCTTGGCTCTTGCTGAGTTTCACATGGAGGGTTCAGAAAGCCCTGCCATGGCATCTGCGAATGTGCCGTGCGCAGGACCAAGAAGCTGTTGTGCACCAGTGGGTGCTGGGGGAACCTGAGGGAGGACAGGGAGCCAAGTCCCTACAGGTCCTGGCATCCTCTTCTCTTGGCCAAGCCCTGACAATGGGCAATTCGTGCCCATTCTAGGGGTGGAGGGTGCTCCATTTGGGTATTTTGCTGCACTGGAGAAACATCAGCTCCTGCCTGTTTAATCCAGTTCATTTTTTCCCACCTCATGTCTGCCATTACTATTACTCACTAGTGCCATTATCCTTTCTGTGAAATTCTCTCCTTCAATCCTTATCCTTTCTGTGAAGTCCTCTCCTTCAGTCCTCCACACTCATTCATGTGTTGCCT